ATAGCTGTAGATACCCCTCACTTCGGATAGAGGTCCGCAAACCAAGCTACAAACCTTGTTTTTCTGCTCGATTTTATGGCCCAAGCACAAAGATGGTCATAAATCCGAGCAGGAAAAAAAGCAAGGTTCTGTAACTTATATTACTGACCGAGAAAACGAGATAAGTAAGATATTTATCATGAGAAATCGCGATGAGCAAGTTATTTACCATAACTTTGGGTTCACATAGAGGGGGAAGACCCTGTTTACTTTAGGGGTATGTACCGTGATTTAAAGCCTGCTAAATTTATCAATCATAGCGCACATACTAATTGAGATACAATAACTGTTGTTAGATCCGACATAATGTTCCTTTTTGAAAATCACTGTGAATACTTTCCCTGAAAGACGGATTTTGTTTACCCGTGGCTCGCGAATGGCGACATCAATAAGGCTTTCCGTATTTTTTTGTTCATTGTACTTAATCATGCTGTGCACGTAGCTTCATTCAAGCTGCACTATTTTGGTTTTGCATTACAACTTGCGTCACCGCCAGACAAACATTCCCTTAGAAACAGGCTTTTGTATCGCTTGTTGCATTTCCTGTTACTTTGTGACACCTTGCTAATGACACCCAACCGCAACAAAACCGCTGTCCATAATTGCAGCTCTTTCTTGGTGTAAAAGAGACGTGCTCAGGACACGTCAAAATAAAAACACAGCCTCCTTAATCCATTGTTTTTATTGTTGTTATTGTTTTCCTTGGTAGTCTACGGAATATGATCAGATTTTACGCCCTTTCGGTTAAAGTCGTCCAGGTCTGTGATTCACTTTTATTTAACAAACAGGGAAACCTTGACTGTGCTCTGTTGTAAATCACGCAGGGAGCGGCTAAAGCACGAAAGAAGTGTAGGGAGAAACACAAGACTTAGTCGGGTGTTTCTCCCGCTTCTTGAGTGCTCTGGCCGCTTCCTAAGTGCTTTAAAACAGAAAAGAGCACATTTAAACTTCTCTATTTGTTTTATAATAAAGAATCCGTTAAATTCCCCAAGCAAACTCCCAAGCATTACTTTCAATTTTTAAAACAAACTTTATTTCCAAAGCGAACAACAGTGTCGTCAGCATGCTCTATACTCTCATAAAGCACGCTACAATAAGCCAATCAGAATCCCTGTTAGAATGGTTCAAATAATCTGATTGGCTGTACTAGACTAAGGCTGTCAAAAATGTCAGACCATCAAAGTTCCAAAACCATCGCAGTTCACATTCTGCAATAGTTTAAAACTTGAATAGTTCGGCAGGTC